TTGTTATTCCTATCCTTTTTTTGTTAGCCATTACCCCCAAGCCCTGTTACAACCATTGACTTCAATCTTGAGTGTTATGTGTTTCAATATGTGGAGTTTGGAATTGGTATGAGCATATGGTGTCATTGATTCTCGCATCTAAGTAGTACCGTTCCATTCATGAGATCATATCTAAACATGCTTAATAACTCCAGAAAATTGCTTCCTTTGTTATAACATATGTGAGTCCCAGTCTCTAGTGTAAGGTGTGTAGTTAGAAAATGTGTGTGAAAATAGAGAGTATCTTGTAAGGAATTGAGCAAATTCTCTAAGGCATGTTACTACATTCAAAACATTGTTTTAATTGGTTAATTGTAAACTAGTAAGTAGTGATTGTGATTAAGTTTGTGCTCAAGTGTGAAGATAACCAAAATCTGTGGGAATGATGATTTTTAACATGTCATGTGCATTGGAAATCTCTGAGGCGAATGTTGGAAGGTTAGGTTGTGTTTTGTTTATTTTGTTTGTTTTGTTTCATTTTGTTTCTTTTGTTGTGCTCGAGGACTAGCAAAAGCTAAGTGTGGGGGAATTTGATAGGTGCATATTTATGCAACTTAGTTAGCTTGTTTCTTGGCATTTACTTAGTTCAATTCTAGTTATTTTAGTACTTTAAGCTATTTTCGTGTGTTTGTAGGTTCAAATAACAAAGTTGGCAACAAAGTGCTATTTGGAGCATTTTTGGGCCAAGATTGGATAGTGCAAGCATGGAGACATGAGGATGGACGTTTTTGAAGATTAGAAGGCTAGAAATCAGCATGTGTGTGCAAGTGTGTTGACCTACAACTACAAACATCCATCCACTACACCCATTACATCCACTCATTACCAAACACTCACCCACTACACCCATTACATCCACTCATTACCAAACATCCATCCACTACACCCACCCATTACATCCACTCATTACCAAACACTCACCCACTACACCCATTATATCCACTCATTACCAAACATCCATCCACTACACCCATTACATCCACTCATTACCAAACACTCACCCACTACACCCATTACATCCACTTATTACCAAACATCCATCCACTACACCCATTACATCCACTCATTACCACAACATACACCACTACCACCTTAATTAGATGGTGGTCCTCTCCCTAGCCTATAAATACATCCACCCTTCACCATAACAAGGGAGAACACAATCCACCCATCCACCCTTCACCATAACTCACCTATATCCATCCACCACCATAATTTAACACTCATCCATCAAACCACACCTTGTGCCGCAACAAAGAGAAGAAGGAGGACCCTTGGACGTGCTTGCTATTCAAGTTGGATTGTTGGAGCATTTTTAGGTGTTTTCATTCTTTTGTTTTCAATGTCTAAATTTGTTTATCTTTGCTTTGTGAGTATGAGGAACTAAACCACCCTTAGCTAAGGGGGGAATTCGAAACCATGTTCATGCTTGCAATATGATTTGATTACCTTCAGTTGTGATTTCATAAGTTGTGAATTCAATTTGTTTAACCGCTTGATTGATAACTTATTTGTGTATGTTTATTAAGAATGCACACTTAGTTTGCATGCTGATAGGAGCATATTTATACGACTTAGTTAGCTTGTTTTCTTGCTTTTAATTAGCTAAACTATGATAATTATAGTGTTTAAAGTTATTTTCGTGCAATTTCAGGTTTTAGTGTCAAAGTATGCAAAAAGAAGCAATTTGGAACATTCTAGAGCATTTTTGGGCCAAGATTGGATTGTGCAAGCATGGAGGCATGAGGATGGACGAATTTGAAGACAAAAGAGGCTATGAACATGCTAAAAATCTGGTGAAACAAATATAAGTTGCAAGAAGGGATAAATTTCTAGAAGGATTGACCAAAACTTCACTCAAAACCAAGAAATTCTTCGATGCCGTGGGCATTGATTCACTTTCACCAGAAATTTGAGTGATGATGCAATACTTAAATCACCATGACATGTGAGTGGATGATGCAATGCTTAACTCACCATGACATGTGAATGGATGACTCAATACCTAACCCACCAACAATTCCCACTCTTTGCCATGCTCACCTACTCAATTCCACCAAAATTTTGTGTTAAACAAGTCCATCATTTTCCTATAAATACCATGGCAGCAACCTCATTCAAATCATCCAGAAATTAACCATTCTCCAAGCCTTCCCTTGCCTCTCCCTACATATCTAAACCTTCCCCATCCATTCCTCCATATAACCAACCATTCAACCACCATAACCACCTTGTGCCGCCACCATTGAAGGAGAGGAGGAGTAGTGCCGTGCTTATGCAATCTGCAACTATTAGAGTGTTTGGAATTCTTTTCTTCTTTTTAATTCTATGTTCATGTTTAATTTAACTTGCTGTTCAATTATGTTAAACATGTGGAACTAATTTCTTTTTTGCTAGAGGTTAATTCAAAGCCATGAATATATTTGTAATATGAATTGATTACCTTCAGTTGTGATTTTTGAGTTGTGATTTAATTTGCTTAACTGCTTGATTGATAACTTATTTTTGTATGTCGATTAAGAATGCATACTTAATTTACATGCATGAATTTGATGCTAGAATATAAGTGAATTTCACCTAATCGTTATGAACTTATATTCACAAGTAGTGAAGGTTGTTATCCACAATCGTGTTAAGTGAATTCTAGGCTGGATTAACATGCGTATTCCATAGTTATGAATGCATAGTCAATGTTTATGATTTCCGTTGAACTTAATGATCTTTGTTGAATGTCTCTATCATGCGTATTCCATAGTTAGGGACTTTGATGAGGAATAATTTGGTTGTAATGCGTATTCCATTCAATCCAATGAATCTAGGGAAATCTAAGAGTTAATTTAAGCGGACCTAATTAACTTGGAACATTGTCATTCACAATTTATTGAAAGAACAACTGAAAATCAATTTAGGTTGCATATGTGTCATGTGTGGAGAAGAACCCTCTAGCTAGTCCGTCACCTATCCTTTCACCTTAATTCATGCTTTTGTCAATTCTGTAATTTATTTAAGTTTAATTTACTTCTCGTCAAAACCAAACCCCCCCCTCCATTATTAAATTATATTATTTAGTTAGTGTTCATTGTTGTTAGTCTTTTAATTCAATTTCCGTCCATTTTAGTTCCTAGTGTCTAATTTGATTGTTTTCATTATTTTGAGTCATTCTAAGTGTGTTTCGAGTTATTAGAGTTTTTAGCCTAGTTTTGTGTCCTTGAGTCTTGTTTAATATTTTTAAATTAATTTAGAATAGATTAGCAATCCCTCCTAATCCCCGGCCTAGAACGATACCCTACTTACATCTATACTACAATTGTCAAAAAGAGGGTTTAATTTTGTGTGTTAACTTATTTCTCACATCACATGCATGAATATGATGCCAGAGTATAAGGGAGTTTCACCTAATAGTTACAAACTTATATTCACAAGTAGTGGAGGTCGCTTATAAACGATCGTGTTAAATAAATTCTTGGCAAGAGTTTCATGCTCATCATAGTAACGAGTGCCTCGTCAATACTTATAGTTTTCATAATGCTGAATGATCTTTGATTGTATCTTTATTGTGCTGTTCACGTAAAGAACTTTTGAAAAATGCTTGAATTGTTGTATGCGCTTTCCCATCCAATTCAATAACTTAAGGAGAACTTGAAGGTTAATTTAAGCGGACTTAATTAACCTGGGGTGTTGAGTTTCATGATTGATCGAAAGAACAACTGAAAATTGGTTTATGTGCAAGTATGTCATGTGTGGAGAAGAACCTCCTAGCTAACCTTCCATCCATTCAATTTACTCAAATTCGTGCAGATTTCATTAGTTCTTTAATTTACTTGTTTTGTTTTCAAATTCATCAAAACCAAAACCCCCTTTACTTTAAAGTGTTTTATTAGTCAAAATCTGTTTTGATTTGTGTTTTTAGGTGTCCCAAAAGTGTGTTAGAGTCCAAATCTACCCAGTTTGTGTTTTAGGCAGATTTGAGCGTTTTTAGCTTGTTTTGAGTCATTTGAGTTTGTTTTAAGTTCTTTGAGTCTAGTTTAGTGTTTTTAACTTTGTTTATATGTTTTATGTCAGTTTAGAGGTTATAGCAAGCCCTCCTAATCCCCGGTTTAGAATGATCCCTACTTGCATTATACTACAATTTGACAACAAAAGGGTTTAATTTGTGTGTTAAGAAAATTTTCGTATCAACAACCAGTGAAGGCAACCAACTAAATAGACGAGGTTGGAGTTGTAGAGTTAGTTTTCCTTAGGAATTTCAACCGACTGGATAGATAGGGATTCTCTTTGAGTTTGTGGCTGCCTATTTATCCGAAGTCTCAGTTGACAAAGAGTCTTTGATTCTTTCGTCGAGAGACAACCTTCTAGGTGAAGTAAGGTGTTCCATGATTAGTTACTTTCAGGTGACATTCAAATTTCGGCACATAGGCAACCGGACCACTTTTACAGTTGACACTCATCTCTTTTGAGTATCTTTGTAATTACAATTTGATACCGTTTAGGCGGACCTATATTTTCACCAATATAGTTGAGGCTACCGTAGTGATATGCATAACCTCGTCTTCAGGTTCTAAAACTCAAAGTTAAGAGTGATCCTTCCTCTGTCGAAGTCGCTAGACCCAAAAGTTTGCAGCCCATTCAATCACATCACAGCATTCAAATTGTTCGCCTAGCCAAGCTCGACGGTGAATTTGCATACTGGCATCAGCATTTAAGCAACCAAATGACGTAATTAGCTCCTAATTACTTTGCATGTGCACTGCATAGGTATTGTAACTTTTATGATCAACAATTACACATTACCAATCACTAAAATGCACCAAAGCATACTAGAAAATCTCAGACCAAGGTAAATCAATTGCTCTGTCAATCTCCTAATTCAAGCCCTTCAAGATTTGACTTGCCTCTAGGTTCAGCGTGTGTTTAGAAATACCAACGAACAAGCAGATAGCGATGAACTAGCCGTTCAAGGAAAAGTATGAACAAGCAGTACCCATCAATTATTTTGGCAAATGCAGAGAAGGGCGTCCTTACAAGATCCATAGTGTTCCGAAAGGTTGTTCCCTGTGTCTAAATTATCACAGAGGTTCTATCTCAAATGTTGCAAAAGCAACAGCCACAAATTACAAAACTAAACATCAATCAACCAAACAAAAACAAAAGGCTTCCAATTTTGAAAGTTATAGCTGCGGCGTATATTGGATATCATCTCTCCATCTCCCTCCTGAATTTTGGTCGATTCAAATCAGTGATGGTCATCGGAATGGTCTGGAGATCCACCGGGTCCAACCACTTCAAGCTGTGGAAGTATCAAACGAAATAAATGAGAACAGTTCTGCCTAACTGGAAGCAAATAAGCAGCTGCATGTGCAATGCAAAATGATAGAGCATTATGATCCATCATTTATCAAAACCCCTAAAGGATTTGACTGGAAAATCTCACACAACCTGTGTTGCATGAAATTGATTGACACTGCCAATTCTCAATAATGAGTCAATGACAGTCATGGACCAAAACGCTACCAGCTGTTCCAAACACATTCCGTTGGATCACCATCCAAATAATAACATAAAAGTCCATATCTGGATTTGGACTCGTTTCCATCCAGTCCAGATCAGGAGGCCCCAAAAAAAAATTAATCCATCAAGTTTAAGCCTCCACTTACCACAAAGTATTGTGTGCAGACTGGGCATTCATGTGGTTTGCCTTTCTCCAGCCAAAACCACACAACATCATGCTCATCCTCTGCAATTAAAATACAGCAAAAAAACATTAAAATGATACCAATTTAAATTCAGAAGAATCATTTTTTTAAAACGAAGCAGTAGGCAAGCATAGATCTGCACATACAAAGAGAAGAGAAACAATGAACATAGAAGAACCCACCGCCTTCACCACCAGGGCACCCAACTATTCTCTTGTTGTAGTAGGACTTGACAACCGCAGGTTCTTCCTAAAGGCCAAAATTACATAAATTAGAATTTCATCTCTTTTTGTCCCCTTTTATAATAACATAAGGGACAAGCATACACATGAAATCCTCACGGGCTCTGGTAAAAATAAAAAACAAACTAATCCTCCTCCCTCCCTCAAAGGAGGTCCAGAACATATAAATTAAAAATCTAAAGATAGGGATGCGAATTGATTTAAAAATCTAAAGATAGGGATGCGAATTGATTTAGTTCAGTTTTCTCCCACCATAAATCAAATCCAGATTCTTTTCCATTTTTCTTCAGACTCAAGCAATTCTTATTATTCCACTGTAGGACCATAATAGTAACTGCTTTGAAAGTGCTCACTTTATATCACAAATGGCCAAAGCATGTGTCAATAGCAACGCAAAGGTCAAGAAAGAGAACAGAAACACCCATGCGGAAAATAAAGCTGTGGTTTCCAACCACCAATCCCTGTCCTTTGATGCATAGAAAATGAACATGGAGCCCTCACAAACTTTTTATATATGAAAACAATTAGTATTCTTTTCTCTTCTAGACCATGACAGATTCAAATTGATCATTAAAGAGCCAAACTGAGATGAATTAGGGACATTTACAATGTTTTAAAAGCATGAGGTGTGGGCGAGGCATCTAAGGGATAGCGCAGCCTAGGAGTGAGGCGTGAGGCTAAGCCTCACAGGACCTAAATTTTTTAATATATACACTGAGCGTACACATATTATATTAAAAGAAAGAAGAAGATTATTAATCAATAATATCCCTGAGCACACACATATATTATAAATACATACACACACACATATATACATATATTATATTATATATATATAATAGAGGATGAAAAGCACAATGAGCATACATATAACAATGCACGCAGACTTGCACATCCATTATATAAAAAAATAAAAATCAGAAAAAAAGGCAGAGAGATGATAGTGCAAGGAAGAGGTACGAGGCAGTTAAAACCCGACCCAAAATTTGGGTTTGGGAGTAAAAACAAAAAAAAAAATCCCCTGAGATGCGCCTAGGCGGCTCCGGCTTCCGCCGACTCCCTCAAAACAGAGGTGGCAACCCTCAAGCCTAGCCTCTCAGGGTGCCTAGGCGCACCACCCTGAGGTGAGCCTTTTACAGCATTGGACATTTACAATAATTAAGGGAGAGCGGTGCCAGACAGACAAACTGTGCTTACATCATATAAGGATACAAATATAAGTGTTTTATAAGTGTTCATTTCACCAAAACCAAACAATTTGGTATAACATTGTCAGGATTAGAGCATCTCACACAAATTTGAAACAATCAACAACCCATTGCATAAGAAACCCTAGATTACTTATTTGCATGGTTTCCCAAAACCAGACTCAGTCAGTCCAGTCCAAAGTTCCAAACCCATTACTCAGATACAGCTTGGTCTTTAGCTACAAAACTGGAAATAAAATAAAATGACTTCTATACTTAATACTCAAAAACTATGCTTTTGAAAATATGCCTCAAATTGTAGACAATTTGAACTTTGAATTGAAGACCCTATAGGTCCATTTAAGACACTTCCACATTTGATGCTTTGAGGTTACAGTTTTGAACTTTTATATATTATCTCCATGGTTCAACCCAGAACTATGTACATGAAAATAATTTATTATTTACAAAAGTAAATATCTTAATATGTGGAGACAAGTCCAATTAGGAATTATGAAAATTAACACTAACAGGTATACACATCTCTTATTTAATAAAAGAATATGCTTAAATAGAATAAGAGAAACTATTTTATAAAAGTGAAGTACCTAGCTTTTTTTTTTTTTTTTTTTTTTTTTTTTTTTTGCAAGTGGCCCTATACCAGTGGTGGAAAGGAGTTGAGCCCTTACATGACGGTATGGGTTCGAACCCCGTCAGTGGCTAATCTAACATCTAATATAATAAAATCTATCATTTGACGAAAAAAAAGTACCTAGCTTTTCAATTTTCATAAAGTATTACACTCAATTGGGTGCAAATGTGAATGAATATGCTAGATATGCTCAATTGGGTGCAAATGTTGAATTAGATTGTGCTACTTTGAAACCCAATGGTGTTTTTGGGTTCTGGTACAGCATTGTGCATTTCAAGTAAGTGCCAATCACAGAAAATATACAAATAACAATACAATAAACATCACAGAACCCACAAAGAAATTCCTAAAGCAATTTATGAGAACAATCAGCTTCCACATGGCATATCTCGAGCTGAAGGAACCACAAATTAAGTCACAAATAACTTTGGAAACCGCTACGCCAAGATAATAAACTAAGCAATCTAAATTTCACAGGATAGCACTTACCTTTGTGCCAAAAGGACCAATAGGATGGTTGATTTCCAGAACATCCCTTCCCTGCAGACAAAGAACAAGAAAATGCATCGAACTTCTAAAACCCAAAGAAAATAAACGCTTGCATATCGATTAATGAAAATGACACATGAACTAAGTGTGAATCGTCAATCAGAACTCAACTACTTAACGCAATGACATACGAAAATGAGTACACATTGTCAACCAGAATTCAACCGAGCAACAAAAATTAATAACCAAAGAAATAGGTAAAATTTGTCACTTCCTAACCAACTCATTTTCTTTTCACACATTTTCTCATCAGCCAAACAGTTTTCACATTACAAAACTACAATAACTTACAAATAATAATTAAAAAAATTATAAAAAAAAAGAAAATGTTACCTCAAGTTCAGCTTCAAGCTCCTCTCGCTCGTGGCCGGTGGCAATGGGCTGTACCTCCTCAACCTTCTTCACACCAGTCGTCGCTGCGACAAAACAAACAAATCAAAATCCCGCCCATTGGAAAAAGATCTGAGAGGAAGATTAGGGTTTGCGACGAGGAAGTGGAAAAGATTACCAGCTTCGGCGGTGGTGCTGAAGTAGCTAGGGAGGAGAGGGAGGGGCTTGTGGAGGAGAGAGCGGGCGGGTCCAGCAGCCGATCGGCATGGAGCTGCTGCAGTACCAGCGGCGGCTAGGGTTAAGGTTTTGAGCTGAGAGGAAGAGAGCAGTCTCCGCCACATGGTTCTGATTGTTGCGGTGGTGAGTGTGTGTGTGTTTTGATGTCAGGCCACCTCTTTGGTGTTGGAGGCGAAGAGATTGGATCTCTTGATCTCCTTTTGTGATATTTTCTGTTTGTTTCTCGAGAAAATGGGAATTTGATTAGGGATGGGAAAATGGTGGGAGGCTGGGTGGGAGGAGGCCAAAAGGGTCTTCGGGCTTGTCCGGAAGAGAGGATGATGGGGCCAATAGGGGTAGGGATTCCCCTCGCACGTGGGAAAGTTGGTGTGCACGTGCTGGAATTTGCCAATTTAGTGTGGCCACTTTCGGTAAACGGACTAATGGTTTGGTTTCCGATGAAGATTGCTTTTTAGCCATTTCTTTCCCTATATGTAGATATCTTCTGATCTCACGTAGGGTTATGTGCACTTTTCAATATACATGTTTTCACATTATGTGAAAGAAAATTTTCAAATCCCACTAATGGAAAGAAATTTGGGTTGGGCACTTTGACTAGTATCATTTGACTTCACATAGGTACAACTTGCAAATTCACACAGTCTCCCTCTTTATGAAGGTAGCTTGACTAACTCGTTAGACAAGCTACCAAATCATAATTTTCTCCTCTAAATAGGGGGAAGTTCTTGTGTGTAACAAGATTATGTCACTTTGTCTCTCCCTCTTCTTATCTTTGGTAGAATCTTTTCTATGGGTTGATGCCCGTATCATCAAACTCAAAGTGAGTGTGAAAAATGTGGGTTGGGTGAGTTAAATACAAAGATCCATTTTTCTACTAGAAGGGTCGGACAATCGACGTGGCTTGAGCGTCCAAAACCAAAAAAATCTTTTACTAAATATATGTGCGGTTATGCACTATGCTGGTAAAAAAAGATTGGCCAAGGACTGATGGCAGTCGCAAATATGTTGGGCTCCATTGTAAAAGCAACAATTATCAACGATTGACTATCAACTGCCCATCAAAAAATTAAGTCGTTCCAAGGTACCTACAGGATCTTTCAGTCACCAAAGAGTTATTACATATACAGAAGAAAACAGATACTTCAGCTGCATCAGTTTCATAAAGATCGAAAATCGTCTTGTTTTGTTAAGATATGTGATTAACTTTACCGAAAAGTGCAGCGCTTTTAATAACTAAACAGAAAATTACAAGGATTTGTCACACACATACACAAAATAAACACTGCTTCTAACAGAAATTCTATCTTTAGATTTCGCATTCTCTTAACATAACAGTGGCCACAAAGCCAGAAATCGCTCTTTGGAGGGGCCATTAATTAAGACATTTAAAAAAAATTACAAATAACAATATGATTAATTTGAGGAAAAACTTAAGGTTTTTTTATTATTGGCATGAAAAATTCATCAAACAAGATTGAGGGGAATTAAAAATAGGGAACTTTAACGAAAAGCTCCCGGTACTGTTCAGTTTAACGAAAAACCACATTTTTACACTAAAAAGTCAATCCTGGTACTATTCACTTTACCCTTTATTTTGTCCTTATCATTAAAACTCAAAGTTTTCAAGCTCTTTTCATTAGTTTTCCTTTAAAAATATCTATGAAAAATTAGTGTTGGGATGATTATATCATAAGAATAGAACTTGTTTACAAGCTTTAATAAAAAGGAAGATTCGAATAAAAATTTAAAGATAAATTACAAAAAACTACCTTAACTATTGGGCCAACCACAATTTCATACCTCTTCTTTAAAACTTTTCAATGTCATACCTTATCTTACGAATTTGTTGCAATGTTATACATTTGTTACGTTGTTTGTCAATTCCTCTGTTATATGCTGATGTGGCTTATGCTGGGTCCTACCCTCTCCACATATGGACTTCCACGTTGGTTTTGAAACACGTGGATCTTCTGAAAGGATGACTCGTGTATATTACAATAAAAATTTTAAAATTTTAAAAAATAAAATATTTTTTTTTTTAAAAAAAAGGCCAAATTGGATAAATAGTACTCGTGGTCATAAGGTATTCGGATAATAGCCCATGTAGTAAAAAAATTCGGATATATACCCTTGTGGTAAAATCTGTTAGGATTTGTGCCCAAAACTTAACCTTCGTTCTTCCTCCGTTAGTCTGCATGTGAGTTTCTTTGCTTAAACCGCTGCGTTCTCTTGAGATCATTTTCCTCAAAACCTTAAACAATCAGAATGAATCAATAAACACAATAGAAACTCGCTCTCTTCTCTATCTTTCACAGTCTCACCCGGGATCACAACACGAGGGTAAGAAGGAAAGATGGGTTCTTTCCCCAAATCCCTAAATTTTGAAACATGGGTTTTGATCCTCTGCGTCGTGGTCGTGGCACTCCTCCTCCCCCTCCCTACCAGCCGATCTCCATCGTCGAGCATCTACGACCACCTGCGGAAGTAGGGATTGCCGATTGGCCTTCTTCCTAAAGGCATAACCGACTATTCTCTCAACGGCACCACTGGCAAATTCCGAGTGTTGCTAGAGTAGCCCTGCCACGCCAAGTTCAAGAACCAATGCTCTCTTGAGATCGACGGTGATAAGAGCATATTTATGCGACTTAGTTAGCTTATTTTCTTGCATTTTCATAGCTAGTTTCTACTTATTAGAGTGTTTTAAGCTATTTTCGTGTGTTTTCAGGTTCAAATGACAAAGTTGGCAAGAAAGTGCAATTTGGAGCATTTTAGAGTAGTTTTGGACCAATAATGGATAACACATGCATGAAGCAAGGTGAATGGACGTTTTTGAATTTCAAAAGGCTAGGAATATGCTGATGAGATGAAGAAAATAAATTCAAGACAAAGAAGATAAGGAATCAGCTAAAAGGAAGGAACATTATCCAAAACATTATCCAACCTTATCTTATCCAAACTAACCTTATCTTATCTTATCTTATCTTATCCTAATCTTATCCTACCTTAATTCCAGCTGCAAGGGGGAATCAATTTCACATTAAATCACCTAAATATCTGGTTCTAGATGCCCTATCCTCTGTCTAAAGTGGTGCTGCACCCTTTTATTCCTTTTCTTCTAGAAATATGCCAGAACATCCCTTTCTAGAAGCTTTGTGCTGAATTCCCTAGTCCTTTTCCCCTAGGATTGTGTAATCATTCTCCTCCACAACCTTTGTGCCGAAACCCTAGCCTATAAATACATATTGCTGACCATAATTTCGGAACACACACAAGAGCCTAAAAAAAATAAAAAAATAGAAGAGTGCCGCAGGTTTCTGAGGTTTTTTAGAGACTTGTGACGTGTTTGCAAGGAGAAGAAGGACTTGTATCGTGCCCTGCAGCCAAGGATTGTGCCAAATCTGCCATTGGAGTGCTGGAGCGTTTCTGGGTTCTTTCTATCCTTAGTTTTAGTCCAATGTTTAGTTTAATTTGGTTTTCAATTATGATGAACATGTGGAACTAATTTCATTTTAGTTAGACGAGAATTCAAAGCCATGAACATATATGTGATATGAATTGATTACATCCAATTATGATTTCATGAATCGTGAATGCAATTTACTTATCTGTTTGATTGATAACTTGTTCTTGTGTGTTGATTAAGGAGGCCTACTTAGTTTGCATGCATGAATTTGATGCTAGAATATAAGGGAATTTCACCTAATCATTATGAACTTATATTCACAAGTGGTAAAAGTCACTAGTCATGATTGTGTTAAGTGAATTCTTGGCAGGAGTATAATGCAGTTCATAGTTACGAATGCCTTGTCAATGCTTATGATTTTCATAGAACTTAATGATCTTTGATATGTATCTCTATCATGATGTTCATATAGGGAACTTGATAAGAATAATTTGATTGCGTCACTGAGTCCAATTCAATGAATTTAGGAAAATCTGAAAGTTAATTTGTGCTTCGCACAATTAATTTTGGGCATTATCATTCATGGTTTATAGGAAGAATAACTGGAAATCGATTTGTATGCATGTGTGTCATGTGTAGAGAATGACCCTCTAACTAACCATTCACCCATTAAATCACCAATTTCGTCCAAAGTATTTAGAGTCTTTAAATATGTTTGCTTTTAGTCTTAAATTCGTCAAAAACCAAACCCCCTTTCCATTTTGTGTCCTTAGGTTTGAATATGTCCAGATTGGTTGTTTTTCATTGTTTTGAGTCTTTTTAGTTTAATTTTCGTCCAAATCACCCTCTAGTTCTTGTTTTGAGTCAATTTAACTTAGTTTTGTGTTATTTGAGTCATTTTAGGTTGTTTTGAGTTGTTTGAGTCTAGTTTTCAGCTTTTAAGTTTAATTTGTGTTGATTAGCATCCCTAACTAATCCCCGGTCTAGAACGATCCCTACTTATGCATACTACAACTATCTTAATAGGTTTTAATTTGTGTGTTAATTTATACCACATCAGATGCCAATCACCCAAGATAGAAAGGAACGCTCTCCAAATCGATTCCCACTTTCTCTCAGTTTGGTTCTTCAATTGCCGTCGTTTGTTGTAGTGATTGAATTTCTCTTTTACGAATTCAATCACTACAACAAATGACGACAATTGAAGAACCAAACTTACGAATTCCAATTCTTCTTTTTGTTTCAATTGTCGTGATTGAATTGCTTGGGCATCCTCTAATTTGGGTTTGCAATTGTTTGGTTTGAGAAATCGAAATTTGACAAAGTTGGGTGTTTTGGGTCAGATTTTGTTTACAATTTAAACTGTTTAATTCATGATTTTTTTCTATGCCAATGAATGTTGCGAATGCAAGTTCTGAGATCCCAACTATTGCATACAATCTACTTTTGGGATCCCTCACGTGCAGGCTAATGGAAGGGACGAAAGTTAAGTTTTGGGGCATAAATCCGAATAGACTTTACCATGAGGGTTCAAATCTAAATTTTTTTACCACAGGGTCTATTATCCAAATACCTTAGGACCACAAGGACTATTTATCTAATTTGGGCAAAAAAAAAAATTTCCTCATAAACCATGCAATTTGAATTGAAGCCTAAAGCCCCAACTGTGCAATTCCATTTCAATTTTGCTCCAATTCCCAAATCAAAGAACCCTAACCCTAATTTCATATCACGCGCCCCAAATCACGATCAATAATTCGTTTAGTGAAAACCCTAAGTTCGTCTCGTCGTCACCTACTTTCCTTTCGTTCGTTTTTGTTGAAAACCTTATGTTCCTCTAGTTTTTGAAGGATTTGACAGTATTTTGAAGGATTCAAAATGGGGTGGAAAGTGTGCGATGATCCCGAG